GCAGAGCATCATGGGAATCGCCCTCCCTCTGTTCCACGCCAGAGGAGTTTTCCAGTACAGCTTCGGTCTGATGCCCTACAGGAAGCCCATCCACACCGTCGGTATGTCACCATGTTCTGAAACACTGGTCCGGCTGTGATCTAGAACCTGTTAGAACCTGTTAGAACCTGTTAGAACCAATTAGAACCAGTCAGAACCTGTCAGAACCTGTTAGAACCAGTCAGAACCTGTTAGAACCAGTCAGAACCTGTTAGAACCAGTCAGAACCTGTTAGAACCTGTTAGAACCAATTAGAACCAGTCAGAACCTGTTAGAACCATTCAGAACCTGTTAGAACCATTCAGAACCTGTTAGAACCAGTCAGAACCTGTTAGAACCAGTCAGAAACTGTTAGAACCAGTCAGAAACTGTTAGAACCAGTTAGAACCTGTCAGAACCAGTTAGAATAGAACCAGTTAGAACCAGTTGGAACCAGTTAGCACCTGTCAGAACCAGATAGAACCAGTCAGAACCCATCAGAATGTTAGAACCAGTTAGAATGTTAGAACCAGTTAGCACCTGTCAGAACCAGTTAGAACCAGGACTTTGGTACTGACCCGGCTCTTCCTGGTTCTGTTCCCAGTTGGGAAGCCCATCTCGGTGTCTCAGAACCCCTGTCCCAGTTCTGAGGACATCGAGCGTCTCCACAGCGTCTACCTGCAGGGACTGACGGAGCTCTTTGAGCAGCACAAGAACTCGTACGGARTGGGTCAGCACCAGCACCTCACCTTCATATGACCACATGTTCTGGTCCAAAGACCCGCCTCAGAACTCCACAACACCTGACCTCTGTGAACACACCCTGTGACCCTGTTCCTGCGCTCTGATTGGCCGATTCAGACTCGACCTGAAGACCAACACCAGGCTGATGAACTGAAACACATCCACGGTTCTTCCACAGGAAGAGGGACCGAGCCGGACCAGAACCTCCTGCAGGTCTCAGCTGTAATCAARGTGACTGAGCAGCAGGGGGCGCCACAACCAAAGATTTCAGAAGTGTTCTGGTGGTCCCACCTGGACCACAATCTGAGTCTGGGTTCAGTTTCTGAGGATCTGAACTGGTGTTTCTGATGTTTACATGTTTCAGGAAAAATCAACACGTTACTGATAATAAAACACGCCTTTCACAATAAAACATCTTAATAATTAAACAATAATAATAATTAAACAATAATAATAATTAAACAATAATAATAATTAAAGCTGTATAAAACATAGGAATGATGAAAATTGTCTTTACTAAGAAAATAAAAACTTTTGAGTTCATGGATCTGATTTTTGACACTTTTCTCTTTGAAGTCAGATGAAAGGTAAAAAGTTAAGCCACGCCCCCTCACTTTATGTTTGCAGCTAAAAAGAAAAGTTTAATTTTTAAACATTTATTCTGACTTTACACACGTCTTGAATCGAMTGAAGACCCAAAGTTAATCTGTTGTAGACGTTCACCTGATAATTACTGTTCCAATGAAAGAATGTGATATTTTGCTAACAGAGACCTGAAACATTTCACCAGTTTAAAATCACAACGATCAGGATGCATTAATGAACCCATCTTTACCTGCTTCCTCCTGTCCGGGTCACAGGTCCATGTCCAGCAGTCACTGTGTGAGAGGCGGGGACACCTGGACATGTCTCCAGTCCATCACAGGGACACATGGAGACAATCARTGACCCTCTGTCTCACACAGGGACAGTTTAGAGTCACCGACATGTTTGTAGGAGAAAACTATGAAGGTAGATATGTGTCAAAACCCACCTGCAAAATTTAGATCTGCATTTCAACATTTAACCTGCAAAAAGTTCAAACAAGCAAGTTACAATTCAAAAAGTTTCAAGTGGTTTTTGACACTTATCTACCTTCTGCAAAAACCCACCTGTGCACATGGAGAAAACGTTAACGTGGATTCAATCCAGCAACCTTTTGTTGCTGAGGCTCTACCAACCATGGCGCCTGGTTAACTGTAAACTCTGGTTATTAGAGGAAACGTCTGCTGTGATGGCTAACTGTAGCGTTCTGGTGCACAGGAGAAAGGTGAGCTCACCTGTAGAAGCAGGTAAACTCTGGACCATGATGGTGTTCCTCCAGGACCAGGGTTTGGAACCCTCTGATTTAGAAGAGGATGTCATCAGCATAACGAATTATTTCATTAAACAGTTCAGAAACACTCAAGACTGTTTCAAATGTTTTATTTGTTTTAAAATGAAAGACAGATCAGTGTGACGTACAGAAGCTGAACAGGAAGTGATATATTTAGCTCCTCCCACCACAGATGTCACTGCACCGCCTCTTCCTCAGGAGGCGTGGCCACTCCCCAAGGCATGCTGGGTAAATAGTGTGCCAGCCACTCCCCCCAGCTGCTCCTGGGGACCTCCTCTCTGCCTCCTGGTCCTCGTTTCACCTCCCAGCCTCCTACCACCCAATCCAGCTCCTCCCTCCCTTCCCGTTGCTCCTCCCTCTCCTCCCGCAGAATCACGCTGTAGCGCTTTTTGGCTCCTCCTCCTTCACCTCCAATCAGATCTTGATCCCCCCTGACCCTCCTCCCAGAGACCTGACACTCCTTCACCACATCCCTCCATCCTTCTATCTCCTCCTCTCTCCTCACCACCCTGTACAGAGTCTTCTTGTACACCCCCCTCTCCTCCCTCCCCCCTTCTTCCTCCCCCACAGCCTCCTCTTCCTCCCTGCTGATGAACAGAACAGAGCGATAAAGAGCCATCACTCCTCCGTCTCCTGCTCCTTTCTCCTCCGTTCTCCTCTTCATCAGCAGCTCCAACTCCTCCCTGCTTTTGATCCTTCCGACCCAGGCTGCGCTCACCGGGCTGTAGACGGTCCGGTACCAGGTCACCAGCCTCACCAGGGTCACCAGGACACACGCTGCAGCTGCAAGGCAGAGCAGCAGACATCCTGCAAACAGCCAAACACAGAACACTCCACCGGAACCTGGAGACCCTGCAGAACTCAAGAACCCCACTGAAGAGATCGACAATGTCGTCTCAGAGGTGCTGGGTGTCGTCAGAGTCTGGATGGTAGTTGTCGTGGCTGGTGTGGTGGTAGTTGTTGTGGTCGGTGTTGTTGATGWTACGGTTGTAGGAACACCTGTGGTTGTTTCCACAGCTTCTATCAGACCACCAGTCGTTGGCAGTCCCATCAACTCAAACGACCCGACTAACGATCGTTTAGTMTTCATCTCTGATCCAGAGGTGTGCAGCAGTTCATAGTACCGGGTGAAGGTTTGGTACCAGGACCACGTCACCACCGAGTGCTGCGTGTGCAGCTGGAGGAACACCTGAGTGGGGGCAGCAGTAGCTGGGGTGGTTTTAGTAGCGGATGTCGTCATGTGCAGAGCTTCTGTTGTCACCTGGAGCTCAGGTGGACCAGTTTCTGTTGAAACTGAGCACAGGTCCGATTCTTCCAGCGTAAACACAGGTTTCCCTTTGTACTCCTCAGGAGAGTCACAAACCTGGAAACATCCAAACACAAACAGGTCCACGCACAAATCAGAACTGGTTTCCACAAATCAGAACTGGTTTCCACAAACCAGAACTGGTTTCCACAAATCAGAACTGGTTTCCACAAGACTTCAACTAGCTTTGGTTTAAAAAAAATCTGATTCCATTGTTTGGAGCAGTGGAGGGCAGCAGTGGGACAGCTCTAGACTAGTTCAGGTCCTACYTTTTGTGTCTGATTTGGTGACATGTCCTCTTCTGCTCCTCTTGTGTGTGGGGTCCCACAAGGCTCAGTTTTAGGCCCCCTCCTCTTCACACTGTACCTGCTTCCTCTTGACTCTATACTTAGAAAATTTGGGATCTCTTCATTGTTATGCTGATGACACCCAGATTTAGTCCAGTAAAGGACACCAGCTGTCCGAGCCCTCTGTTTTTATGTCTAGAGGAAATCAAAGCCTGGATGGCTGTGAGTTTTATAAAGTTTAATGAAAATAAAACTGAGGTGATGTTTGGAAGCTTCAAAGACACCTGATGTAGATGTTGGTTCACTGACCCAATACATTGAGCCAACGGTTACTAACCCAGGGGTAAAATGATGCTGGACTAAAGGTAGAAAACCACCTCAGAGGGGTTGTAAATGAAGTCTTTACCCTGTGAGGCAGCTGGCTACATAAAYCCTGTGTCTGTGGGACTCACCAGGCTCTCCACATCCACCTGGATGATAGGACCGTCTCGGACGTAGACATTGAGCTCGTACTCATTCAGGTATTTGTGAAGGTAAGAAAGAGAACAAGAACAAGCCCAGGGATTGGCTGACAGGTAAAGGTATGGCACCTCCTCCTTCTTGATGAACCAATCATTGGGCATCACCTTTATCTGAGGAGAAACGTTAAGGAGCATCAGTTTCAGGGTTCTGCTCTGCTGCCCCCAGCAGATCCAGGTGCTCCCACTCACCTGGTTGCTCTCCAGGTAGAGGGTCTCTATGGCCATCAGAGGGTGGAGCAGGTGAACGGGAAGAACTGAGATCTGATTGGCTGTCAGGTCCAGGATCTGAAGGTTGGACAGAAGATCTCCAGTTGTAATTTAGTTTATTAGTGTTTTAGAGTCCCATGCTAACCTGCTAACATGCTAAGATGCTAACCTGCTAAGATGCTAAGATGCTAAGATGCTAACCTTCAGCTTGTTGAGCCCAGAGAAGCTGCGGTCGCTCAGAGCTGAGATGGAGTTATTTTCCAGGTAGAGCTCGCTCAGAGCAGGACAGGCTGTGAAGGACCCGTCAGACAGGAGGGTCAGGTGGTTGGACCCCAGCCGGAGGACACTGAGACTGGGCAGGACCGGACCAGGACTGGGTGTCACCTCGGGGATCTGTAGAACCAGACGTGGATCACTCAACATGGATCAGACTCATGGACCAATCAATCAGCTGTTTGGGTTCTACCTCGTTGGCCGTCAGGTCCAGCTCATGGATTTCTGTAAAAACCTGGAAGGAGGTCCAGGACAGAGCGGAGAACAGGTTGTTTGGAAACAGCAGAACCTGAAGGAAGAGAAAACAGATGTTTGTTTTTATGATTACCCAAAGAGGAAGTTGATAACCCRGCCTCCAGTCACTCAGAGGACAGGAGCTGGGACTCCCTGGTCCTCCTCTGAGGATCCAGTCAGGATGTGGTCTGGTTTCTGAGCAGAGGACATTTTATCTGAGCTGGGTTTGGACTCTGCAGGACTCAGATAAGATGAGGACTTCCTCCTAGCTTCTCCTGACAGGAATATTCAGACCGTTTGAAAAAATTTAATGTGAAACTGAGCGACTCTGTAAAATTAAACCGAACAGAAGTTCAGCTCCAGATGTTTAAATCCTTGTTTTGACTTACCTTCGTCCTCTGATCCAGTCCCACCGGGACGTCCCTGAACCCGGCTCCTGTGCAGTTCTCTTTCGGACGGTGGTCTTTATCCCTGCCGCTGTGGCAACCGTCCACTGATGAAACCACAGCCACAGGTGACAGGAGGAGGAGGAGGAGGAGGAGGAGCTGCATGATGAGAGACCCTCAGAGACAAACGGTCTGAGGACAGACTGAAGACGTCTCTCAGGACAGCAGTAAATGAGTTCAGTTGGACTCTGAGCTGCTGAAACAGGAAAAGACTAAATCCTGTTTTGCTGAGTCATTAAATATGAAACTGTTGTTGTTTATCTGAAGATCCAAACTTCCTGTGGTTCTGCTCAGAACACTGGAGGCTCAGGGTTCTGCAGGATTATAAAAAACTGTTTTTATATTTGAAGACATTTTGATGTTTTATAAAAATGTTCCTTAATTTAAATGTCCATCATGTCCAGCTCTTAATCTGATCCACAGATTATTAAAATTTGATTATTATAAACTGATCCACAGATTATAATAATCAAATTATTATAAATTGATCATTATAATCTGATCCACAGATTATTATAATCAATCAGGTTATAATAATCTGATTATTATAATCTGATCTACAGATTGTTATAATTAGATTATTATAATCTGATCCACAGATTATTATAATCTGATCCACAGATTATTATAATCTGATTATTATAATCCAATTTAAGATTGTTATAATTAGATTATTATAATCTGATCCACAGATTATAATAATCAGATCCTCAGATTATTATAATCTGATCCACAGATTATTATAATTTGATTATTATAATCAGATCCTCAGATTATTATAATCTGATCCACAGATTATTATAATTTGATTATTATAATTCGATCTACAGATTGTTCTAATTAAATTATTATAATCTGATCCACAGGTTAGAATAATCTGATTATTATAATTTGATTATTATAATCTGATCCACAGATTATTATAATCAATCAGGTTATAATAATCAGATTGTAATTTAATTATAATCTGATCCACAGATTATTATAATCTGAATATTATAATCCAATCTACAGATTGTTATAATTAGATTATTGTAATCTGATCCACAGATTATTATTATCAATCAGGTTATGATAATCAGATTATTATAATTTGATTATTATAATCCAATCCACATGATATTATAATTAGATTATAATCTGATCCACAGGTTAGAATAATTAGATTATAATCTGATTACTCTTATTTGATCCACAGCTTATAATGATCAATCAGAATGATTGTTATAATCTGTGGATGTTTGTCTGTTGGTCTCTCAGCCACCACAGCAGGGACACATCAAAGACACAAACAGGAAGTGAAGAGTTGTTGACACTTTATTGCCATCATGTTGTCTGCAGAGCCTGAGATTGGTTCCTGATACAACAAACAAAAACAACAACAAACCAACACCGACAGAAACACAGCRGAGGAGCTCTGGGCCAATAGGAAGAGCTTACATCATGATGTCATCATGTCCATGTTTGTGACTCTGTGTCACACATTCTGAGGATCTGATTGGATGGAGGTATGGATGGGCGGGGACAGTCACTGAGGGTTGTTTTCCTCTAAATGTTCTGAAACCAGGGTCACCTGGCAACAACCCCTCAGGCCCCTCCCCCTTTTCCTCCTCAAATCTCCAAAACAAAATAAAACAAAAATCAACAAATACAATAAAAAGTAAATTAAAAAGGACAAAAAAAAACAGCTTTAAAAAGAGAAACACATATTTTAGAATATGATGCTAAATTATCCCAGATACACACACACAGACACACACAGACACACACAGGAAGTTGCAGGACAGCCACGAAGCTCCTTTAGCAGCATCCAAAAAAACAAAAACAAATATTAATGGCACTTATACCTTTAAATAATTCTAATTTTGCTAAATGATGACATCATTAACCAAAGGGTGGAGACGGGGGTGGGGCTAAAATGCTTGGGACAGGAAGCAAATGAATACACACAAAAACAAGCAGCCAATCAGAGGCCCAAACRGGAAATAAAAACAAACAAACAAAAAGAAAGGAAACTTCATTTCCCATCAGCCCCGGCGGTGGCAGCAGGGTCCAGGATTGTCCTGTGATTGGACGGTTCCAGAGCCAGCAGAGCTTCTGATGTCATGCTGCTCGGACCAATCAGAATCACTTCTCATGTCATCATCATCATCYTCATCGTCATCYTCYTCATCYTCATCYTCATCGTTGTGGGTGCTGCTGCAGCTCCCATTGGTTGTTTTAACAAAAACACCTTAAAGCCCTCAGCTGCTCCGCTTTTTCTCCCAGCATGCTTCGCTCTGAGCAGAGCCTTAAATCAGAGTAAACTAACAAATATCTCCTGATCTATAATCATCACGTCTCCACACAGCTACAACATAAATCACTCAGTTTTCCCATGATTGCCTGTGACAGTGAACGCACCGTCAGGTTTCACGTTTAAAAAAGATAAAAACACTTCAAATATACACACAGCTCTGTAACATTTACACCTGTCCTCCCTCTGTGCGTCTGCAGGGGGCGCCGCCGAGCAGCGCTCTTTGGTTTGAAGCTCTTATTGCAGCGGTAGATGAAGCTGATCAGTGAGGCTTCGTAAAGAAAACWTTCAAAGATGATAAAYAACCAGCAGATCAGTGACTGACAGCTGCTACATCCTCAGAGAAGACAGGATGATGTGAAGAACAGCTGATGATCTGCTCCATAAACAAACTGACATGATCCATCATGTCTGAGTCTGAACTCTGATCAAACAGTCCTACTTATTACAAACACTGCTCCTTTCATTTGTTCCAACGCTTAGGTTCCATGTTCTACCTCCATGTTCTACCTCCATGTTCTACCTCCATGTTCTACCTCCATGGTCTACCTCCATGTTCTACCTCCATGTTCTACCTCCATGTTCTACCACCATGTTCTACCTCCATGTTCTACCACCATGTTCTACCACCATGTTCTACCTCCATGATGGCTCAACTCTAACACATCATCCAGTCTGTGACCTCACCATTCAGTCTGTGACCTCACCATCCTATCTGTGACCTCACCATTCAGTCTGTGACCTCACCATCCTA